GAATATTTTGGTCTAAGATATAAATGCCTATCGAGTGTCTTTGAACTTTTATTAATCATTCGATTTCACTGAAAAAGACCGCTCGTTGGAATAAATTAGTTTCATTAAAAATAACTTCAAGGGTCTTTGTTTTGGATTGATCTCATCTAATAACTCACAAATGGCTATATCTGTCTTCTCTTTCTCTGTCTTCTCTATCTCACTGTCAAATTCCCTCCCCTATTTTTTGCGAGTGCGTGTGAGTGCATGTTTTCATTTCTCTGTTCACTTTAATTGAAGTAACTACAACAGTTCGCCGCGAACAATCAGTCATCAAACCCAGTAAAAATATAATAATATTTCTGTAACGCTAGTTATTTTCTTTTTCTAGACACAGTGTTTCCTTTCCAGCTATCTTCTCTCATAATCTATTAGTGCGCTTTGTATAATGTTGGATGTGCAAACGTCACACACACACACACACACACACACACACACATATATATATATATATATATATATATATATATATATATATATATATATATATAATTAATACAAGTAAATGGCTTGTCATTTGCAGATGTTACCTACAGCATCCCAACTCCAGAGTTACGTAGACAGATCCTCCAGGAATCACTCCGTTTACTCGTCAGGGGGTATCAGCAATTGACTGCTCGATTTTTCATTTTTTATATGCACTTTTCATTGGTGCAAGTTTTCCGTGGTGTATGTGTGCGCATGCGTGTAGAATGCTGTGGTTATTTTCTCTCTTCTCTATTATGTAACCATTTTGACTTCTGGGGTTTCCCAAATATATATATATACAAGTATAGGGTTGGTACACATGGAATAAAATTCCAATAACCAAAAACACTATTTGCTGGTGTCTTATCAAATGATGATGTTGAATGGAAAATAAATGATTTTATGAGTTCAAAAATCAACCAAACTTTGTTACGTAACCTATGATGACCAATTAGTATACAAGTAAATGGTAATTTAACATAATGTTAATGGTAATGTTAACTGTTAACCGATTCAGCCACAGGGGACTTCCGGTTTTAAAAAATTCAAATAAATTGTATCCATAAAAATAACGTATAAACGGAAAATATATTACATATAATATGTTGTCATTATGTTCCGGAGGAGAAATTAATTATCGAGAAAGGTATCGAGAAAGTTCGTGCGTGTTTTGTGTTTTTTTGTTGTTTTTTGTTTTTTTTTGGGGGGGGGGTCTTACCAGTCGAAGTGCAATTAAATGCACCGAAACGAAGTTCCATCTTTGTAGTGAGTAAATTGTTTTTGTCTATATGAAAAATTTATAATAAATAATTATTGGTCTACTATCGGTATTGAGCCCTTTTTTGAATTAATGCTGTGAACGTTAGAATTTATATATTATTTTCGTTCTCATTACATTCGGATACATACATATATATATATATATATATATATATATATATATATATATATATATATTGTTATGTGTGTGCGTGTTTCTATAAGCTATAATTTTAAAGGGGATTGGTAAATAAGTTGCAGATGAGTAACAGTGAAAGAAAAGAATCAAAATCTTTCTATTTCATTTGTTTTTACATTTTTTATATTAAAAAAATGAATTATTTTTTTTTAGCAATGAAATATCGAGTTTGTGTTCATGTCTCTTTGAGAAATTTCTCGTTCCGGTTCAAGTCTTATAGTTCAACTATTATGTTTCCAGAGTCAAGCCATATTCACCATTTTATCAGATTCTCGAGTGTCTTTTTTCTTCTTCTATGTGCCAAAATGTCCCTTCTGAACTTTGGCGATCATAGCTCTCCACAACTACATGTCTTTTGTGGCTCATAATAATTCTTTGGTTATATCTCCTAAACCTTGCTCGGCACTCTATTTATACAAGCTCGTTAGTTAGGTTATGCTTGTTTTCCACTGTAACTCTTGCCTTCGTATGTTAGTATCAAATTTTAAAAATCCTCTTTGCTCATTATTTGCCCTAGAAATTTCAACTGTTTCTTCCTAATGTTAATTATAAGTGTCCTCTTTTTTTTCCATTTTTTTTTTCTAAAACTTCGTCGTTGCTCATATGTTCAGTCTTTTCAGTAATCTTCTGTAGAACCACATTTTGGTTGCTTCAAGTCTCTTCATTTGTGTGGAGATTTTCCAACAATCACTACCATATAGGCGGACTGATATTACATAACAATTCAGTAGTCTTTGCTTTGTTTCTAACGAAATGTTTCTGTTTCTTAATATTCTAGGATGTCATAGTGTTAGATTATACAGAAAGAACTGATTAATTGATTATACTCCCAAAACATCTTTTATGATTGAGAAAATCAAATAGTAAATGTCAAGGTCGGATCAAAGATCATGGCTCTCTACAGATTCTTTTTTTATTATCCGTTGATTACCATAACTTATTCGGAAGGATACTGGAGGCTTCCAATGCCTTCTTCCCGTATTGAATACATAGTTGCCCTTCTTCTAGACTGGATGCCACCCTAGACTAGAGTGCCCAGTTTACATTGATATTTAACCTATTGCTGAGAGCGAAATGAATTTATGCATTTATCAAACGTATGAGTGAGAAGAGAACACAACAGACTAGTCTGGAATTTGAACTCGGCTCGCCGAATCCATTTTCTGCGCCGACAACCGTTGCATGAACATAAATGTGTTAAAATACATACAAATTAGTACGAACGAAACGTTTTTACCAAATTATTGGTCGGCTTAGTAGACCTGTACTACAAAGAAACATTTTTCATTAAAGAAAGAAATAAACAAAAACTTTGCTACTCTGGAAGTGATCTTAAAAGTGTATATTCTTGTCCTTTCTAGAAGCACAGGCCCAATTTTTCTAGTCCAATCTCCACGATTTCAGAGTAATGTTATTCTAAAGTGATGTAATGAATATGCATATACCTGGGTTCTCCCTCACAGTACTATGATTGGCTGGTATCAGCCAAAAATACAGACTGATGTGGAGGTACAGGATGACGCCTATTGTCTTCGCCTATTGCCTACACCTATTGCCTACCACTACGACGAGGACCAGTCCATTACGGTTACCTGTTAGATTGTCCTACCCGGTTACAGTAGCCAACAACTACTTCGAACAAATATATCCCTTTCTGGGACATATCATAAAGTTAACTAAAAATGTTGTTCTAAAGTTAACTTACATAACAACAAAATTGATTCCCTCATTATATCAATACTATATATTTTAAAAACACTTGTGTATCAAATACAAATGCCGGCACAGTTAAATTATTTTCTTATTTACCACCACCTCCCACTCGGTATGGTACTTATTTTAGTACATCACGTTGATTATTTTTTTAAATAATTTTCTCAACAGTATGATTATTTTATTTCACGTTTATTAAATTTATATAAACATTCCAGGTGGAACGTTTATTTGAACCGGCACGCTTAGTTCATAAGTTGAAATCAACACCGATAGCCCTTGTATTTGGTGCAAAAGTGTGTAAATAAAAACTTTATGATGAAAAGATGTTCTGAAAACGACAGGTCGTAATTGTATGTCACATATACGAGGTCTTATCAAACCTTATCGAGACTGCTGCTATAAAAATAAAACTACAGCACATATCAATTCGGCATGTAATCTCTTTCGAAGTAGTCCCCTTCTGAAGCCATACATTTTATCCAGCGTCGTTTCCCTTGATGGAAGTATTCCTGAAACACTTTTTGGCGGTTAGCGAACAGCTGCCAAGTTACATTCTCTTGGATTTGTTCGAAGTTTTGAAATCTTGCTCCTTTCAAGTGGGATTTGAATTTTGGAAAGAGAAAAAAGTCGAAAGAGAATATAGCGGTTCTCTGACCTAGGGAATGTTGTTCTTAACCAAAAACCGTTGTACAACCCATGGTCACTGATGGATTTGGTTTGGTTTGATGGATTTGGTTTGGTTTGGTTTGCATGGGTTATTTAATGCCGACAAAATTTTTATTGCTGGTAATTTTTTTTTTTTTCAAAAAATGTATTGTTGGTAATCTCTTTTTTTCTTTTTTCAAAAATGTATCGCTAATAATAATTTTTTTACAAAGTATTTCTGGTATTAAAACCTATTTTTACACTTTCATAGTATTTTGACCCAAGTTTGGGTGTTAACTATTTATCCATAGTTGGTACCCTAACAGGTGCTACCACCCTGGGTCAGGTTGGACCTGGGAACACCAACAATTAAGAAGTGGTTCTACGCTCCTCAAAACCTCCTGAACAGAGGCCTTGCTGTTGGATGTAGTTTATCGTCTTACTTAGGACGGGGATGTAGTTTATCGTCATACTCAGGACGGGTCACTGATGGAACCTCTGTTGGGTGGTGAGTGAGACGTCCACACTCTATACACTTTCCTTCCAAGCACTGCTTTAAACAACGGAAGCGAGTAATAATGTTATAACCTAGTGTACATGCGTGAGTTCAGGATCAATCTATGCCAAGCGGCTTAAGTCTGTAGACTTTAGCTTTATCACAGCAACAATCTCGATAGCTTGTGATCAGGCTATGTCAGGTCCTAATTGTATATGATGTCGTAAATTGATATGTATTAGTATATTAGAGTCATTTTCATCCATTCGTGGGATCACGTTTCAATTCTAAGTTTATTAATTTATATTTTTTGTTTTGTCTTTGCTTCTTGTAATTAATTGAATAAGTAACATTTATCGCATTAACTAAGTTTTCTATTTCAATAAATATTATTGACTTCGTGTTATTGTTGTTAATAATACTGAAGTTTACATTGTTATCATTAATACTGATTCTTTTTCTTAGCTGAATTTAATTAAATTAGTTATGTCATTTAATCCCACACACAGACAACCATTCTACGATTAATTTTACGATTGTAATCATTTCAATGTTTTAATTTTTCAGATGAATAAAAACTCAACAGAGGTTTTTACGTCATTGTCTGACAGAAAGACAAGTCTACACGATTCATCACAAACCATCTGTCCAACTGGACCTGTAAAAGAGTACGTAAACATGGGTTATGTCGAGGATCCAGGGCAATCAGAACATACTCAGCTCAGCACTACACCCAGAAAACAATCATCGTCGCTTGTTAATTCAAAGGAGAAGGACCAGGTACAACCCGAATGTGGTATACATAAGTGCAAGCCAGACTCAATGCAGGGCTGTGCGAATCTTGTCTGCTTTACCGCTTGCTACAGTATGGCAGCTTTACTCACTCAGACCTTAACTGTGTATCTTACCTCCCAGATCACATCTGTTGAAAAGCAGTTCGGCTTCAGCAGTTCCCAAGTTGGAGTTATAATGAGTGGTAACGATATCGGGTTCCTTGTCACTGTTCTATTGATAAGCCACTTCGCAAAGAAAGCACATATTCCGCGTTGCCTAGGCGGCTCGACGTTTCTCTTCGGTATATCAGGACTCATCTGTTGCTTAGCCTACTTTGTCGACCACACACCGAAATACTTGCAGAAGGAAAGCTTAGAGATGTCGGCCAATGACACACCAGCCATTCTTCAGAAACATGACATGGAAACCCTACTGTGCAATACAACAGCCGACCTTGATCAAATCAGAAAAGAATCGGAATGCACAGAGAAGTCTGTGCAGATTCAGGCTGACCAGACAAAGATCGCTTTTGTTATGTTCATGATTGGTATGTTGGTACAAGGTGTTGCAAAATCACCTCGCACCTCTTTGTTAACTGCTTATGTTGACAATAACGTAGCGGAAAAGACAAAGACAGGAATCTACATGGGTAAGTAGCTACAATCAAATCATAAAGGTAGGTTTTAAAAAATATCAGTTTTTTTAACCGAGCTACTAAATTTGGCCATAAATAGTGAACGGAGCTGCATTTGAAAGCCAAGCTCTTCCTCCTCCTAAATGGCAAAAGGACTTTCTTCGCATTAAGAAGCATACGTTAGCCCAGCTTAATTTTAAAGTAGCAAAATTCAATCAGGCAATCCCAATCTTTGATCTCGGACAACAAAAAAAATATCAGTATGAGCAATCGTATAAGATTCAATGTGTCATAAAAAGATAATTCATAGTCACGTGCACAAACAAACATATGCATCTGTTTGCGTTTATTCACATGTATATAAAAACAACATCGACCATAAAGCGATGGCAAGTTAGTATCATAGACTATACACTGCTAGTGTACTGAATTCGATCCTCATAGATTTCCCTATTATTATATACTTGTGTAAGACTAAGTTAAACTGAATAAATATTTAATTTTTTTAATCCTTTCACCCTAAGAAAGGCGATAAAGCCCCTGCGATGCAAGAAATGAAGAGAGTGAAATAAAAATGAGAAATCGTTAGTGACAAGAAAAGATAATAAAAGACTAGGTTTCAAGAAAACTGAAGATGGCAATTGATGTTGTATTTAAATTTTTGAACAGGGAAACAAGAAACCGGAAGAGAGTTCCATAGTCGAGAAGTGTGAGAAAATAAACTATTAGAATAGAACTTACGATTACGTCTAGCTGTTTTAACAGTAAAATGATGAGACCTAATTGCCAATCTAGTAGCACACTTAAATTCATGCGGTCGATGTACCAAGGGGGAAAACTCATCAGAACAATTGTTATAAGAATATTTATAGAAAAGACAGAAGGAAGCCATGTCATAGTAGTGGGACAATGACTGAAGTCGCGATGCCAGGTCAGATTCATATAAACATGCCTTTTCCGTATTTAAATACACATTGTAGGCCGATATATGTTATGGTAACTTCATGGGCATGTAAATGGCAACAGGATTCTTCATCAGCTAAAAGTTTAGCTTTTAATATTTAAAGTACTTTTACATTTAATGTGATATATTCTACATGAGTTTTTCGATTATTTGTCTTCTAATGCCGATGTTCTTGTTGCCAAGCATCAGGTGTTTATTAATGTAGACACGGATTGCACTGCTATCTGGCGAGATAGAGTAGTGGCTTTATATACGACGTATGAATTTGATGTTTGTTCTTCACAGGAAATGCAACTCCCAAATAAACAGTATAATTTGTCGTCACCTGCCTGTGATCTCAAAGTATAACACTGATTTTAAAGGTATTTGAATATGGACAAAAACGACGCATTTAAACAGCTCCGGATATTACAAATTATCAGGAGAGTTATTGAAAGCTCTCTATCACAAACACACGCACACTATATCCATGTCCACTGGATTCAAATATCTTTCTTGTACATAAAACCATGAGAAGAAAATGAAAAGTAAAAGAAAATTGTGGTTTTATGAAATATGAAATACTACTTGCCGAAATGAACATTATATATACATATAGTCTGTTACAAAGTTAGTATATTAGAACGTCACTCGCTAGATTAAGATCAATATTCCTTAACCTAGAAATGTCCCAATGGAGTATATTGCCATGACGTCACCACACTTGATCAAAAAGTGTTGATCTTGCAAATATCCAATGATGAAGCCATAACGTCACCACGCTAGCTTAAGATCAATATGTGTTAAGCCTGCAAATTCCCAATGGAGTATAAGGCCATAATGTCTCGACGTTAGATTATGGTTAATACGGGTTAACCTTCCTAATTCCCAGTAGAATATAAGATCATAAAGTCATTACGCAAGATTAACATCAATATGTGTTAATCGTGCCAATTTCCAATGGAATATAAGGTCATACAGTTACTACGCTAGATTAACATCAGTATGTGTTAATCCTACCAATTTCCAATGGAGCATAAGGCGATAACTTCACCACGATAGAATAAGATAAATATGTGTTAATCCTCCAGATTTTAAATGGATTATAGAAAATTAACGTAGCCACGTTAGATTAAGACTAATATGTATTAACCCTGCAAGTTCCCAATGGAGTATAGCTTATGATCACTATATGTTATGTCTGCAAATCCCTAATGGAGTATAGGGACATAACTTCACCACGTTAAATTATGATTAATATGTGTTAATCTCCTAAACCTAAATGGAATATAAGATCATAACATCACCACGTAGATTAAGATAAATATGTGTTAACATTGAATGCACCCACTGGAGCATGTGGTCATAATGTCACTACGCTAAATTAAGATCAATAAGGGTTAACCCTGAGGACTGCCAATGGAGTATATTGCTATAACATCACCACATGAGATTAAGATCAATATGTGTTAATCGTGAAGACTCCTAACAGAGGATACGAACATAACGTCACCACTTCAAATTAAGATCAATAGACTGCAAATTATTTGCGTCTTCGATAGCGATCAACATTATCCAGAAGTTGCAGCTACTACTTTTCTTACTGTGTATTCAGGGTCTTTTTTTTAATAATGCTTCACATCTAATATAAACCTCACATTGCTGTGGATAGAGGATTTATTTCATCTGAGGAATTGTTTAATAATTCATCACTTCTTTTTATTCGTTTTTCAAATCATGTGTCAGATTGAATTTCGCAAATGTCTTTAAAACATAGTCGAATCCGTGAATTTCGAGAGGGGTATAAAATGAAATAAATCTAAAATTTTCTCTTTTTGTTTTTCAGGTATAATCACATCGATGGGAATTTTTGGTCCTTCCATTGCATTTCTTGTAGGTGGAATCTTCAGCAAAATACCCGTCGATTTAAAAGGTGAGTCTAAAAGTCATTTATCTTTACCGTGCAAAGGCATCTGTAGGTCTTCTTGACCTGCTGGTCACTTTCAAGTCGCAGTTGTTGACGGTAGCGCGCTTTTCATTTCCTGTGTCAGAATGGAAGCAGCCATGTTAATTAAGGGTACTGATAGTCTTAAATAGAAATGGGAATGTTAAAATTTGGCGATTGCTGCATAACATTAGGTTAGGTCGATTTCAAATAACAGTCACATATTATATAGTTATATAGTGGGAGGAATGTCAGATATAGTGAGAGACTGTGAAGCAAACAAACACACACACACAAATATATATATATATATATATATATATATATATATATATAAAATTCTGACCTTATGTTACCCCTTAACTTTCGGAAAAGAGGTAACAATTTGTTTTTAAATTTCCTTAGGTCATTGAATCGCCAGTTACTTACCATCGCCTGAAGAAGTGCAATCGAAGTATTAAAGCATGAAAGCTTTTGTGTAGCGATTTCAATATGTTTTTATTATAATCTTTTAGAGAAGGATGCTGAGAATATAATGGACGGAACAGCGAGGAAGTTTTAAGGAAAATGGAAATAAAAAGCATACTTTTACTTAGGATCAGAAAGAGACAGTTGAAATTTCTAGGACGCATAATGAGGAAAGTGGACTTGGAAAATTTAACACTCATACTGAAGTTATGAGGGACAGAAGTAAACAGTGTATAACCTAGGTAACGAGCTTAAAACAAATAGACAAAAAGGGACATAGTACACAGAAAAAAATGAGTATATATATATATATATATATATATATATATATATATATATATAGGTTTATAGATGACTGACAATACACCGCGATTAAGTTTTTTTATTAATTTTTTTCTTGCATTCGTTCAAGTATTTTCTTTTTGGGATATAGAGTGTGTAAAACCTGATCAGATGATCTGTAGATCCGAGCGCTAGGGTTCACGCTTTCTTTCAGGAGTTGCTTCGTGTGTATGATATGTGTAAGTGTGTATGTTCGTGTGGGTGTGTGTATAAGTGTGAGGCCTCAACACCTCCGTAAGCATGTCTGTCTTGTGTGGGTGAGAAATGTGGATAGGTTTTGATTTGTAGAGTTATATATTAATACTATCTATATTGTTAAATTTATGGTTTAGCCCGGCTGGATAAAAAAGACGTTGTATCCACTTATTTTCATGGAACTCTAAAATCTTTCTAATGTTATCTGCTCAGAACTTTTCTATTCTCTCAATTATAGTGAATTTGGCATGGGTTTTGAAATCGTGTTTTTCTAGGCGGAAATGTTGTTCTACAGGTAATAATTTTTCATGGGGGGGGCGACTTAATTCGATTGCGATAATTATTAATTCTGTAGTGAAAGGGCCATTCAGATTTTCCTGCATATTGTTTCTGGCATAGTGTGCTTTCTAGGAGGTAAATTATGTTATGACTTCCACAGTTAGAATCATGGTAGATTTTGAAAGTAGATTTTGATTGAGCTAGTGTTGTTTTTAATGTGGTTGCAGCATAAACTTCTTTTGTTGTTGCATGGTTGGGAAAATCCTGTTGTTTTTGTTGTTAGTTTGTTATGGATTACCTTGTCCCCTGAAATGTGGTTACTACCTATGATTTCTTTTAGGTTCTTAGGTCTACGATATGCTAGAAGGCCGAGTTCCTTAAACAATTTTTTTAGGTCTGGTTTGAGATCTAGTATTTCCCAGCGACTTTTGATTATTTGGGATAGTGGAGGCAGAGTGGGGTTGAAAGTGGTTACTAGAGGGATGCGGCTGGGTTTATTTTTAATCTTGTACATTAGGGTGTCTTCTCTAGGTGTGGAAATTGCTTTATTTATTTGTTCCCTGATTAGGTGTTGTTTATAGCCACGTGTTGTGAATTGATGCTCCAGATTTTCAATGTGTTTATTTAATTCTTCATTGTTGGAACATATCCTTCTGAGTCTAAGTGCTTGTGAATAGGAAAGGTTCTCTTTGAAGTGTTTAGCGTGGGAAGACTTAAAGTGTAGATAGTTGTGTCATTATTTATATATTATATATATATATATATATATATATTTATGTTTTAATGATATGTAAATGCGGGTGTATACATTTTTTTTATCTATATCAAGAATTTATTTACATTATTCGGAC